GCTGCAGAAAGAGTCAGGAGCCCAGAGGAGGGGGCAAAGGAGGTGAGGGGGTGGGGGCAGAAAGTGGAAATGAAAGCAGACAACAGAGCATTGCAAGAGAGCTGGAAAGGAGGTGAAAGGAGACAATTTTAGAGAAGAAATTTTTTGGTCGCTACCCGGATTCGAACCCGGGACCTTTGAATGAGAGGCCAACACCTTAACCTCTAGGCCACGAGAGCCCCCGATCAACGCTCAAAGTAACATTTCGAAAGGCCAGCAGCCAAACACCAAACCCTCAATCACTGATGCTGCAGAACAGCAGACGAGAGCCCACATTCATTATGCTACCTTAGAATTACACAGTTATATCGGGCATTTTTCAGTCGTATTGAGAGACCATGAGGTCAGAAACCAATGTTCTATTAACTCCATCAAAATCGTAAGGTTATTCGGAGTCGTTATCAAGCTATTCAATGAATTGCATTAAAAAAAAACCTCAACATGCTGTGAAACTCAAAAAAATGTTAACGCCAAATTTCTAAAATCAAAGTACTGAGCTCATAGAATTTTGTAATTCTAGGGTAGCGGAAAAGTTGGGACATCTGCGGTGTAGAGCACAATGCGACTGATTCGATTGGCGACCTTGAAAAACAAACGCGTTTGATTCTGAAGGCCACGGTTCATTTTAGTTAAGTAAGGTCAAATGGGATCTTTTGCCCCATTCATGAGGGAAAATCTGCCCGACAGGCCCAGATTTAATCAAACGTTTAGTTTTAGATCTAGTTTCAATAAGTTTTACAGCACTTGCAATACAACAAGTGCCGGAGATAAGAGGTGTTGCAAGAAAGTAACAAAGACAAAAAAGAAGGAAGAGAGACGAGGACGAAAGATGTTTGATAGGAAAGGAGAAAACCGCACCAGGGCACCCGTTAACCACCCACTCAGTCAAACGAATTGGACTGGCATTCTGCACTCAGTACAAAGTACCTACCTGGGAGCCCTCCTCCGTGCCGCCGATGATGCGGAATCCGTAGCCGCTCTCCTGTCTGTGTAGCGTGACCGTTGTCTCCAGAACGTTCTCCTCCAGACCCCTGCTCTGGGAGCGCGCCGGCTGCTGTCCCGGGAGCGATGACGCGGGGTGTGGCGGCGGGCGCCGCGGGACGCGCGTGATGCTGCTGGGCGCGGGGTTCTCGCTCTCAAACGACGTGCTCTGCCGCACGGGCCGGCCGCCAGGCGTCAATCCACCGCCGCCGGCAGAGGGGAACGGGTGGCGCGGAGGGAACTCGCCGGCGTAGCTCCGATTGAGCGACGGGTTCTCGAACGGCTCGTAGCGCCGCTGTGACGTGGGGGAGGAGAAGTCAGGCCAATTGCGGCCGTAGTCCTGGTAGGGCGGCCTGTACTGCCGGCCCTGTTCCGAAGAAGGGTTCGGCGTGAACCGCCCGCTAGTCCTGAAATCGCTGCCGTAAGGCTGTGACGGGTGCGAGGCCGGCATGGGCGGCTTGCCGTTGCTGCTGCTGCCGCGCATATCCGCCGCTGTGGGCGTTTTCGGCCGGTGTATGTCCGTCCGGCTGTTCATGTAGTCCGGGCCGGGACCCCCGCGGGCCATCATCTCAGGGCCGGGCGTCCGGCTGCGGAACTGTCCCGGCTTCACGTCGCGGCCGCCGTAACCCCAGCGGTCGTCGGCGGCGACGTGGTTGTGCATGGAAGGGTAGGCGGTGGAAGACGAGTAAGAGCGCTGGAAAGGATCTCCGACGCCGGGCGGAGGAGGCGCGCCGCGGTACCGCGGGTCGTAGCGCGGGAAGAAGTCAGGGCGGCTGGGACCCAGTGGCGGTCGGCCGTCGGCGTCGGCGTAATCTCGCCGCCCCATGTCCATGTAGCCTTGCTGCTGAGCGTTATAGTTCCGCGTGGGCGTCTTGGAGCGGCTGCTGTCAGAGGGAGTCTTGGGCCGCGGTTTGTTGGCGTCGTGTTTGCTCCGCATCTTGCCGTCCACGTCATCGGGGTCTGCGGGCACACAGGGGGATAGTTAGATATGGGGGTAGTACTGGGGCAGACAGACAAGACAGGACAAGACAAGACAAGCACACACAGACAGACAGACACACATACGTACACATACAGACACACACACACACGCAGAGAGAGGAAGGGGGGAGAGGGAAGGAGAGAGAGAGAGAGAGAGGGGGGGAGGGGAGAGGGAGGCAGAG